CACCACCACCACCACCACCACCAGTGGATTGATGGTTAGGGAAGGGCAGTCCTGTGGCAGGCTGCTTTAGCCCAAGGTGTCTCATCATCTCCAAAGCTTATTTTTAACTATTGTTCTGATTTTTTTTTTAAAAAGAAAAAAGAAAAGGTTGAAATTGAAGCTTAGCGGCTTAGTTTGGGACAGCTTTAGTCGGGGGAGAAACAAGTGAAATGTGTTATATCAGTAATTGGCCGAAGCGTTTCCTCAAAACCATTCTGCTGCATCTGAGCCGCCATCAGGTTTGTATGACTCCTGCACACGCTCGTATAGACACACTGAAATGGCTCGGCCCCCCCTGTGGTGTTGACAGGACCACAGGAGAGAGGTACAGCGTGTGTCGCTTCCTCTGGTCCAGCAGTCAGAAAGACGGATGGCACCAGATGTTTTGTCCTTTTTCTTGCAGGTGGAGTTGCTGATTGAAAATGAAGCAGAGAAGGATTACCTGTATGATGTCCTCCGCATGTATCACCAGTGAGTACCATCTGCCCTTGCTTAGTGTGGTTACAGTGTGTGTGTGTGTGTCTGTGAGCAAGCTGCATTTTCTGTTTTGTTCTGCTCTTTCGTGCACAAATCTGTATAGTTGGACAAAATGTTGATGGTTATTGAATAGATTATATCTTCATTGGCCTCAAGTGTTGCTGTAATTCCTTCCTGTTCTGTGTTAGCTGCCTGTGTAATGAGGCATAAATGCTTTTTTTTAGCTCCTCACCCCAACTTTTAAACGTCTTCATGTTTAGTTTTTTAAAAGCTCTTAATCTTAAACTCCATCAGGGTTTCTGATAACAGCCTGGTCTCAGAGGGCTGGGGAGGAGGTTGACTGGCGAGGCGGGGGGTGGCGGGGCTACAGGTCTAGGTTTCAATTAATTTTTGTACAGAGGCAGAACTCTTTGGCCTTACTGGTTAAGCCTCTGATCAGTTTCCACTGTGCTCCGACAAGCCTGGCCAGTTATCCACAAAAGCTCTTTTTATGTTCATCCTCCAAATAGGGCTGAAATGGCACCTATTAATAATTCAAAGAGGAGGCCAGGCGGACAGATTTTATACTGTAGCTTTTACTACGCTCCTTTAATTGCTGTTCTAGTCGACCTTTTGTCTTCCTTTTGAATTGTGAAAGAAAGATGGTTGGATTATTTTTTCCAATTAGATATTTAGAACTAATTCAGTATCTCTAAAGCTGGTCATTCAATATTATTCTTATTCTTTATATTATCTTTGGTGAGTGAGCACACCATTATCTGTATCTGTATTTGTTCAACCAACTAAATTATCTGAACTTAAATTAAACTAAATTATCTGAACTTAAATCAAACTAAATTATCTAACGGGGCTTAAACTGGACGTGGGTGGTTCTTAAACTTAAATGGGCGGGGCTTACCTGAAGTTTTTCATTTAAGCTGGAAATTGATAAGGGTTGATAAGAAGTTTCTATATTTATTAGAAAATGGTTGAGCTTCAGAGCAATGTTTTTGATTACAAGAGTAAGAGAACTACTTACTGAGCAATTTTCTTTTTATAAACCTTTGATACTCAAGTCCATTATCTGTACCGGGCACTCGTTTCAGCCAACTACTCACTCAACCCTAATTATTATATAATAATAAAAGTGTGACTAAAATGAGCAAAGACAGATCTATGCTCTAAGTTTTAAGGTATAATTTCCAGTATTGTTGTGTCAGAGTTCATTATATTGTTTTAAATTAATTCCTTATTTCTGTTTAATGTAGCTGATATAATTTAGAAATGTACATCATATTGCCATTTATTTGCAGATATAAAAACATTTTCCTTGTTTTTGTTCTTGGAGATATAAGTACATACTGTATTCCTATTAGAAACCCTGTTACTTATATTAAAAAGTAACATAAACCCACAGTTACTCATGTTGTAGAAAGTTGCTTGGTACCTTATATTATATGTTAGATATACTTTATTATCAGAATAAGAATCAGAATCAGAAATACTTTATTGATCCCGAGGGGGAACTTAGTTTGTTACAGTTGTTCTACTGACACATGTTAACATGTTAATACTTATATTACAATATCTAACACAATATACAGAATAGAAATGTATGTATAGGTAAATAAATATATAATACGAGCCTATATACAAAGTAAATGTGAATGTAAACATATTCCACAGTATATGCTGACATAAATTAAATAGTATTGAATTTAAGATTGTGGTTTGCAGAAGTTATAGATAATTACAAGGAATGATTGAATAATTACAATAATAACATAATAATCAAGTGTATTGCACCTTAATCAACTTATTGCACATTATCAGCACCAGTTTAATGACTAATAACTCAGAGTTTTGACACTCTGAGGGAGGAGTTGTACAGTGTAATGGCCAAAATATTAATCCCAAAAGGAGAAATGTTATATCTTTCCAGAATGTAGAAGTAATGTATATAAAAAGCGCACAAAATTGAGACTTAAAAATGTACTTATTGCCCCTCTCCTCTCTCAGGTCGATGGATTTGCCAGTGCTGGTGGGGGACCTAAAGCTAGTCATCAATGAACCGAAGCGCCTGCCTCTGTTTGACGCCATCCGACCTCTGATCCCTCTCAAACACCAGGTGGAGTACGACCTGCTTACCCCGAAGAGGTCACGGTGAGTACAGCATAGACTCATGTCCTGGTACTGGTGTGTATCTGGTCTGTATCAAATAATAATAACATAATAAAAACAACTTACAAAGAAGATTTCATTATATCATCCAAACCATCCCTCTTGACCCTCTGACTGGCTCGTACATCCTGCTGTGTGTCTTCCTCTCTTTCCTGAATGTGCAGGAAGCTGAAAGAGGTGCGTTTGGATCGGACTCATCGTGATGGACTGGGTCTGAGTGTCCGAGGAGGGCTGGAGTTTGGCTGTGGTCTCTACATATCACAGATTGTCAAAGATGGTCAGGCTGGGAATGTTGGCCTTCAGGTATATGTAGAATCATTATTAAAGCCTAATGCAAGCCTATAGGGATGGACTTGGTTTCAACGTGCTTCTATTAATATCCACAATATTTGTAACTTACTTGCTGATTGAAGGTCTGGGTTTCAGTTGCAGAATCTGAATGAATGGGTGAAGTCTAAGTGACTGCACTGTGCATTAAGCTTGTAACAAAAATAATAAAATAATTCAATGCATGCTTCAAAATCGCTGTATGTGGATCCAAAAGTACCAAAATCAATTTATCTGTTCAGAAACTAAATTGAAAACAATTTACCTTGCTTGTAGTAAGTAAGTAAAGTAAGTA